CTACCGAACCCCTGACTTTGAGAGGGTGATGCAGCAGGTCGCAGAGGCCCTCCAGCTCCCAGGGGACACTGCAGAAGGTGTCCAGGCTCCCTGGGACTTGAGCCCATTGAGAGAAGAACTGAGTCATCAAGATACAGCTGGCTTCCAGGAGCCCTTCCGCTTCTCTGATCAGAGCTCTGGGGCCTTCGTTGGGATTCAGGAAGAACTCGCCCTGCAGCTTAAAGATAAGGCCCGCCTCTTAGGAGAGATATCTGCCTCTTTAACTTCCCTTCCCCCTGTGGAGTCACTGAGAGATTGTCAGAAGCTTCTTCAGGTGTCCCAGAATCTCTCCTATAACACTTACTTGGGAGGCCTTGGTCATTATTCTTCATTATTAGTTAAAGATGCAATTATTCAGGCTCAGGTGTGTTATGCAGCCTGCAAAATTCGCCTGGAGTATGAGAAAGAGCTTCAGTGCTACAAGGAGTCCTGGCCGAGCAGGGGGGGCTCCTGCCAGGAGCACGAGCAAGCTATCGGAGCCCTGAGGGAGGAGTACAAGGAACTTCTCCGGAAGCAAAAGAGTGAGTACCTGGAAGTGATTGCCATCATTCAAAGGGAAAATGCTGAGCTCAAGGCCCAGGTCGCCCAGCTAGACCAGCAGCAGAGGTATCTGGAGGAAGTGGAGAGCAAGCACAACGAGAACATATTTGCCCTGCAAGGGCGATACGAGGAGGAGATCAGGTGTGTGGTGGAGCAGTTGAACAGAGCGGAGAATACACTGCAGGCTGAGCACAGCCGAGTCCTGAGCCAGCTGGATGCCTCGGTCAGAGACAGGCAAGACATGGAGAGGCACCATGTGGAGCAGATGCAGACCCTGGAGGACAAGTTCCAGCTCAAGGTCAAAGAGCTACAGACCATCCATGAGGAAGAGCTAAGGACCTTGCAGGAGCACTACTCCCAGAACCTGCAGTGCCTGCAGGAGACCCTCTGCCACTATCAGGGGCAGCCGCCGGAAGCCTTGCTGGCCAGGAGCCCCCACCAGCCCCCTTCCTCCACCTGGCCAGCGGGCCAGCCCAGGGATGCTCTGCAAGTAGCCACTGGGGAGGCTGACTCCATGATGGGGCTGAGGGAGCGCATCCAGGAGCTGGAGGCTCAGATGGACATCATGCGGGAGGAGCTGGAGCACAAGGACCTGGAGGGTGACACGGCCACGCTGCGGGAGAAGTACCAGAAAGACTTTGAGAACCTTAAGGTTTCGAAGCATCATTTAATTTGCAAAGCAGTCGAGGGGCAGGCGTTCTCCTTATTGAGAGGCAGTGTCTGGGATTCTCGGGCTGGAGCTGGAAGACAGTTCTTGGCCCTGAGTTTCTGTATAAGCAGAACTTATTCAACATTTTGTTCCTTCCTCAATTCCTTGCCATGGCATTGCCTCAGAGCAGGGCCTTGGTTAGGGTCTAGCATCCTGTTCAGCATCCCCCACCAAGAAAGAGGACTAGCAGAACAGGATCACTGGCGAGAGGAGTGTAGTCTCCCATTGCCTTCCCGCCCGCTTCTCACAGCCCCTCACCACCTGGCCTGCTTCCCATCCCAACAGCCCACCTGTGGCTGGTGCAAACTACACTGAAGAAAAAAGCCTGGGGTAGACAAGCCAGAGGCACTCTTGCAGGGCTGTCTCTTAACTGTTGTAGGAGAGTTTGGGAAGCCTGGAAGATGGGAATATTGACAAGACAGTGCTTAGAGACACACTCCCATCCCAACTCTGTAGGGAACTGGTGTTTAGTGGACACCTAGGTAAGGACTCCAGGAGCACAGCTTTCAGCGCTGGTACTCCTCAGGAGCTTGGAGAAATAACCTTTTCTTGTCACCATCTCCCACACTCCTAAACTGTTCCTCATTATGCAGAACTCCCAGCAGGCCCTAGTACAAAGGCAACAATTCCAGGCCCATCCATCCCCTTCATAACCAGAGGCACTTGTGTGCAAGCATGTGGCTCCCAGCACATCTCCTAAGCTTCTCGGTGTTATCCTCTTGGGCTGCTTGCCATCCCTTGGAGCTACACCCCATAAATCCCCACTTCCCTCACAAGCCCTTGGCCTCGGCAGGCCCAGGATGAGGTGACACTCCCTTCCGTGCATTGCAGAGCTGGGTCTGGGCTGCAAATGCTTTGCTGCTGCTGAGCAAGCTGCCAAGGCTGTGCTCCCAGCAGTGCACTCCTCCAGGTCTGGCAGGAAAACAAGTTTGCTCTGTGTAGGCAGCACATTCTTACTTATGTGACAGCACAGCACTCGCACAGGCAAGCCCGTGTGGTGGCCAGCAAGCATGCAGGCCAAGAGGCCACCTGCACTGTGCTTGTCCTGACTCAGTCCGAACCCATCGTGAGTCACGGGAGAGCTTCCAGGGCTCTTTCCCGGAAGTGCTCTGTGGCAGTCGGTGCCTGCGATAGCAGTGCTCAGGTGGGGCTTTCAAAGTAGTTTGCACAAGCACTGCCTTCACTACTCACAGGGGCCCCACAGCTTTTCACAGCACCCAGCAGGTCTCTGTGCAGGTGCCTGGGCGCGCACACAGCTCAGGCACACAGGAGCCAGAGTGTTCCTCCGTCACAGCGAGCTGCTTCCTGTCAGTTCCACCAGAGCCTCCTGCACGGTGAGGCTATTCCAGCTCCCGTGGCAGTCAGCGGGGCATAGATAAGGCTTTGACCAAAGTGCTGGCATCGTAGCACCCATCAGGAAGGATAACACTGCCTTGTGTTGACAAAATGGCCATAGATGGTGCTGGGACCCGGTATCCCCTTGCCGTGACATAGGTCCATGGTATTCTCATTGACAACCTTGAGACACACAAAATTTCAACCAAATAGCACTCTCCTGGGGACCCAGATGCTATGACTTTGTGCAGATTTTTGCCCAGGGTGGGGAGACTGGGATCTGGACTTGATGACCACTCAACTATAACCACAAGCTGATGCCTTCCCTCATGATTCTGCATAGTAGTCATTGATCCAGATTATTTGCTTAAAAATTAAAATTTGTTTATTGATTTTTTTAACACATGCTTTCCAGAGAAGCAGCCAATCTTCAAAGACACCTCAGAGTTTCTGTAGAAAGAATTTTGACCATTATTTAGCTACTGGAGGCCCAGTGCATGAATTTGTGCACCAGTGGGATCCCTCGGCCTGGCTTGTGGAATCGGGCTGCAACCTGTTCTCTGACATCCCTCGTGGGGTACCAGATTGCGAGAGGGCACAGGCCAGGACAAGGGACCCCACCGGTGCACAATTGGGGCCATGGAGGGGCTGCAGGAGGGCTCCAGAGCATGCCGGGCCAGGCTCGCTCAGTCCCCTTCAGCTGGACCCAAGCAGCAAACTGATTGGTTGTCTGCCCCTGGTGGTCAGTGCATGTCATAGCAAGAAGTTGAGCGGCATTAGCATATCATTAGCATATTATGCTTTGGTTGAATGGACAACTGGACACTTAGCATATTAGACTTTTACTATATAGTATTCTTAAGCACTCAAATCAAACTAATACTTACGAGCTCTACTAGCTATGTGTTAACTGAGAAGCCATATGTGAACCAGAGCACATGGGAGAGAGAAAATGATGGGCTCTGAGCATGCAAGGGTCCGAGGGTTCCTCCAGCATCCTTTGGTGTGAGGTGGTAGAAGGAGACCACTGGCTGCCAGAAGGAGCCTCTGGGAAAAGTGATTCCCAGTTAATGGTGAACACAGTTAAAACCATATGCCCAGTGCAGCAAGTCTGCAGTGAAATCCAAACTCTGGCCAGGAGTTTGGAAAAACTGCACTGAGGCCCTCAGGAAAGCCACACAGTTGCCGCGGGGGCCCAGAACCCGGGTGGGTTTGTTTGTTTTTCTTAAATGCATGTGCAAGAAGATCAATCAAATAGTATAGGGTTGGGAGGGAGGAGCCTCCACTTGCATTTGGAATGGATCATAGCCACATTCCTCCACTTTTTAAAAATCACTGGGAGGCCTGATTTCTATTCAGAAACAGATTTTGCAAGGGATTTAGACAGAAAGTGTGGTTCTGTGCACAAAACAGCTACACAGACCTCCTTGCATCTGTGGTGCACACTCACCTGCCCTGTTAACTTATAAGTTAACACATGCTTTCCAGAGAAGCAGCCAATCTTTAGACACCTCAGAGTTTCTGTAGAAAGAATTTTGACCATTATTCTGATTATCAACTGATAAGCCAGGCCTGGACTTCCCAGTGTGGCATGTGGGACGGTTCAGTCCCTTCTTAGGGCATGCCTGTGTTCTTCCCCTGCACTCCTGTGTGCCCATGCGATAAACCGCCCCAGCCTGTAACAGGTGCAGACAAGTCAGGGAGCAGTTTTTCCGGTATGTGTCCCAGTGAAGTTAGTGGAGTCACTAATTACTGCCCCTCTGTACTCCTTCAAAGGAAATAGAAGGAAGACAGACTGGAAGGGAAGAGAGCATGTAGCCTAATGTAACCCCTCATGGACACTGCAGAGGTGTGACCAGGTGAGGGTGGCTAGCTTGTCAGTGTTTGGCCAGCCCCGTGGAGCCCTCCAGCTCAGAAAGTCATGACTATGACTTATTTGTGAAATGCCCAGTTTGTGACTGACACTGTGCTACTCACTGTATGAACTCAAACAAGACACAGCCAGTCTCTGCAAATTCATTCCCTTCTCTCCCTCTTGTCAGTCCGACCTGGCAGTAAATCTATCAGGGCCCAGAATTGGCTGTTTAGATTCCACTGCAGCTTCTTCCCACCCCAATACCAGCTCATTCACAGGATTTAGAACAATCATAGAAATAAGACAATTTATAGATGTAAACAGCCTTTTCTAAGGGCTCGATAGCATCAGTGAGAGTCTCCAGACAGCTGTCAGATGGCCCCACTGGCTCAGTGCTCGCCTTCAGAGAGCATATTCCTCTAGAAGAGAAGCCTGAGAGCAAGCGGGCTGCTGGCTTATCAAACCGGACCCCTGGCTTAGAGGTGGCGAAACAAACTGATCAAGCTCCTTTGCGTCCTGCAGGCCACATGCGAGCGAGGGTTTGCGGCAATGGAAGAAACGCACCAGAAGAAGATTGAGGATCTCCAGAGGCAGCACCAGCGAGAGCTGGAGAAGCTGCGAGAGGAAAAAGATCGCCTCCTGGCTGAGGAGACTGCAGCCACCATCTCAGGTGGGAGCCGGCGCGGTGGCTGGCCTAGCCAGAGGGCAGGACAGTGGGAGACTCCCAGAGCTGGCGGTACAACTCACAGTTAGGACTGCTCTTTGTGCTGTCCTTTGGTTAAGATTTAAGCTTCATTATCCAAGGATATTTTATTTTAATCTTCAATTACAGTTTACATTCCATATTAGTTTGTGTTCGTTTCAGCTGTATAGAATAGTGGTTAGACAGTCACTTTACAAAGAGTTCCCCCCAATACTGCCAGTCCCCACCTGGCACCACACATAGTCATTACAATATTATTGACTGCTCCCTATGTTGTACCTTACATCCCTGTGACTATTTTGTAACTACCAATTAGTACTTCTTAATCCCTCCACCTTTTTCACCCCGTCCCCGAACCCTCTCCCATCTGGCAACCATCAGTCTGTTCTCTATATTTATAAGCGTGTTTCTGTTTTGTTGTTCACTTATATTGCTCTTCAGATTCCACATATAAGTGAAATCATGGTATTTCTCTTTCTCCGATTGTCTTAGTTTACTTAGCATAATACCCTGTAAGTCCATCCATGCTATTGCAGATAGTAAGATTCCATTCTTTTTTATGACCAAGTAATTTTCAAATTGTGTGTGTGTGTGTGTGTGTGTGTGTGTGTGTGTGTGTATACATATATACCACAGCTTTCAGCCAGACATCTATTCGTGGGACTTGGGTTGCTTTCATATCTTAGCTAGTGTAAATAATGGTGCAATGAGTATAGTCATGCATAAACTTTTGAATTAGTGCTTTGGGTTTCTTCAGATGCATACCCAGAATAAGAATCATTGGGTTATAATTTTTAAATTTTTGAGGGCCCTCCACACTGTTTTTCATAGTGCCTGCACCAGTCTACATTCCCACCAACAAGACACAAGGGTTCCCTTTTCTCCCCATGCTTGCCAACACTTGTTTGATTTACTGACGGTAGCCATGCTGACAAGTGTGAAGTGATATCTCATTGTGATTTTAATTTGCGTTTCTCTGTTAAATAGTGACTTTGAGCATATTTTCATATATCTATTGGCTATCTTTATGTCCTCTTTGGAGAATTGTCTGCTCGGGTCCTCTGACCATTTATTAATTGGATTGTTTAGTTTGGGGTGTTGAGTAGTATGAGTTCTTTATAAAATTTTGGATGTTAACCCTTTATATCATTGGCAATATATTCTATTCAGTAGGTTGTCGTTGAATTTTGTTGATGATTTACTTTGCTGTGCCAAAACTTTAGTTTTATGTGGTCCCATTTGTTTATTTTTTGGTTTGTTTTTCTAGCCCAAGGAGATATATCAGAAAAAAATGATAAGAGGAGTAGTATCTGATATTTTACTACCTGAAATATTACAGAATTGTAAAAATTTTGGATATTAACCCCTTATTAGATATGTCTTGCTAAATATCTTCTCCAATTCAGTAGATTGTCTTCATTTTTAAAAAAATATTTTATTTATTTATCTGCCAGGGCCAGCCTGACAGGTGAACTGGGCTGAGGTAGGGAGGTGGGAATTAAGAAAAGAAAGACGAGAAAGCAGGATCTGGAGGGCTGCAAGCCATTGACAGACTGCAGCAGCTTTATTAACTGTGTAATGCCTTTTATACAAACACTGAATGGGAGGTCAGTTAAGAGGAATGTACTCTCTGTTCCTCTTAATCTCTAAGGGAGAGATAAAGCAGGAAGGCAAATTCTTGGTACAGCAAATCTCAGTAAATAGTTACAGACTTTCGGTAAGCCATGAAAGGTTGCTCTCATTCTACTGATAATTGGAAATCATCCAAACAAGCCTGGGAACACGTGTGGGAGGGGACTGAATCTTATCAGTCCCTTCATGTGCAAGGACTCTGTCAGCTTACACAGTCTCCAACATTTATCTATCTATCTATCCATCCTCACCTGAGAGTATGCTTATCGATTTGAGAGAGAGAGAGAGAGAGAGAGAGAGAGAGAGAGAGATGGGGGGGGGGGAGACACAGACATCATTTGGTTGCCTTCCATACATACTCTGAAAAAAGATCAAACACACAGCCTTTTGGTATACAGATGATACTCACACAGGCCAGGGCAGTATTTTTTAACTTATTATTAAATCGTTATTGTTGGAAGTATTACATTTCTCCCCCTTTTCCCCCATTGACCCCCTCTAGCCCGCCCTTGCCCCCACCCCAGTTTTTCACCACCCTATTTGTCTCTATCTATGGGTTATGCATATATGCTTACAAGGTTTCGATTAATTATCTCCCATCCACCCCACCCCCGCCTTCCTTCTGAGATTCTGCACTATGTTCCATGCTTCCATGTCTCTGGATCTATTCTGTTCATCAGTTTATTTTGTTAATTAGATTCCACATATGAGTGAGATTGTGTGATACTTGTCTTTCTCTGACTGGCTTATTTCACTTAGCATGATAGCCTTCAGATCCCTCCATGCTGTCTCAAAGAGTAAGAGATCCTTCTTTTTCACTGCTGCATAATATTCCATGGTGTAAATGTACCACAGCTTTTATCCACTCATCTGCTAATGGGCACGTGGGCTGTTTCCAGATCTTAGCCATTGTAAATTGTGCTGCTATGAACATAGGGGTGCATATAGTCTTTCTGATTGGTGTTTTGGATCTCTTAGGATATGTCCTAAAAGTGGAATCACTGGGTCAAATGGGAGTTCCACATTTAATTTTTTGAGGGAGCTTCATACTGTTTTTCATAATGGCTGCACCAGTCTGCCTTCCCACCAGCAGTGCACTCCTCATCCTCGCCAGCACTTGTCATTTGTTGATGGTAACCATTCTGACAGGTGTGAGGTGATGCCTCATTGTCATTTTAGTTTGCAACTCTGATGAATGAAAGAAATTTTCCCATCCCTTCAATCTCATCTTAAGTGAGTCTTTTGTTCTGAGGTAGTCTCTTATAGACAGCATATAGTTGGGTCATGTTTTAGAGGCTCAATGAACAAAATTCGTGCAGGGGTGGGAGGGTCCCTCAGCCTGGCCTGAGCCCTCTCACAGTCTGGGACCCCTCGGGGGATGTCCAACTGCCAGCTTAAGCCCAATGCTGCTCACCTGCCTGCTTCACTCACTGCTCCTTAGCACTGCCATGGAGATGGAAGAGGCTTCCACCACTGCTGTTGTGCTTGCCAGCCGTGAGCCTGGCATCTGGTGCCAGTCAGTCAGCTGAGCAGCACTCCCACTGTGTGAGCACACTGACCACCACAGGGCAGCTCCTGCATTAAGCATCTGTCCCCCAGTGGTCAGTGCACATCATAGTGACTGGTCATTCGGTCACTTAGCCTTTTATATAGATAGATAGGTACTTATTAATTGACATTTTAATTCTGTATGCCTAGGTTTCTCTCTCTATTTATCCTTCTCATTAAAAAAGCCCTTTAGCATTTCTTGTAATGCTGGCTTAATGTTGATGAACTCCTTTTTTGTTGGTAAGCTCTTTATTTCACCATCTATTTTGAATGATAACCTTGCTGGATATAGTAATCTTGGTCTCAGATCCTTGCTTCCCATTACTTTGAGTATTTCATGCCATTCCCTTCTGGCCTGTAGAGTTTCTGGTAAGAAATCAGTTCTCAGCCTTATGGGAGTTCCTTTTTAGGTAGCAGTTTGCTTTTCTCTTGCTGCCTTTAAGATTCTCTGTCTTTAAATTTTGGCATTTTAATTGTGATGTGTCTGAGCATGGGCCTGTTTGTGTTCTTCTTCATGGGATTCTCTGTGCCCCGTGAACTTGCGTTACTTTTTTCTTCATCAGGTTAGGGAAAGTTTTCTGCCATTATTTCTTCAAATACGTTCTCTATCCCTTACCTTTCTGCCTCTTCAAGCTCACCTACTATTCAAATATTGTTACATTTTGTGTTGTCCCACAGCTCCCTTGAGCTGTCCTCCTTTTTTAATTGTTTTTTTCTTTTTGTTTCTCTGATTGAGTGATTTTTTAAACCCTATCTTGACTGACCCAATCCTCCTCTTTCCCTAATTCGTTGTACATTCCTTCCAATGTGTTCTTTATTTGTACTATGTCATTCTTTCTGTTTTCATGGTTACTATATCTTTTCTCATGCATCTTTGCCATTATTATTCTCAACTCTATATCAGATAATTTTCTTATCTCCATTTCATTTATCTCTTCCTCTGGAGGATTATTTTGTTCTTTATTTGGGGGTTGTTTCATTGTTGCCTCATTTTGGATGCTTGTTTGGGTTTGTGACTATGTATTGGGTAGATCTGCTATGCTTATCAATCTCCAGTGCAAGACAGTGTCAAACGCTGTTTCTGACTAATTAGATCAGGCAGAGATTTCAAGTGTCCAGAGATTGCCTCTGCCTACAGACTGAATTCAGTCTTCAATAGCCTTCAGGCAATTGTCCACAGGTGTGATGAGAGTTTTTCCAACAGAGTGGGGTAATTGCTTCTGCCTGGAGGCTAATTGTTATTCTCTGTTTGTTAATGGGCCTCAGAAATTCCACACTGTGGAGCAAAGTGTTTTCTAATGGGATGGATCAGCTATCTTCCCCACCACCACCACTACCACCACCCCCAGGCTAAACCACCCACATAGCAATTGTCTGTGTGTGAAAGGTGACTTCTGCAGAGTGAGGGAATGACTCAGCACAGGAAAAATAGACATTAATAAATATAGGTAGTCTGCCTTTTGAGCTCTGGCCCCAGATCCCCCAACCGTGGCTTTCGCTCACACAGCTCCAGTCCACTTTGCCCTCCCTCTGCCAGAGCACAAAGTGAGTGGCTGCGCAGAGAATTTTGTGTGTTGGCTCTTTAAGAGGATGCCTGCATTTCCAGCCATCTCTCCCTGGCAGATAGCAAGGATCTGCTGCTTTTCATAGCCAGATGTTAAGTGTGCACCCTTCTCAGTTCTGGTGCTCTCTGCTGTGGGGTGCAGCTTACAGTTTAGGCCCAAGAGTTCTTAGTGGCAACCCCCCACAGCTGAGATACCTCTTCAGACCTTCAGCTGCTGTCTGTG